TGTTGTTGTTGTTGTTGTTAAGTGTCATGGAGTGGGTTTCAACTCATAGCAAAACTGTATCAAGTTTCCAAGGCTTTTAAATATTTTTACAGCAGCAGAAAGCCTCATCTTTCTCCCTCAAAGGGACTATGGGCTCAAATCACCTACCTTGTGGTTCATAGTTCAATGCTTACCCTATGGAGTCACCACACTCCCAAAACAAACCTACAAGACTGAAAATAGGGAACCAGACGTACTAGTCTTCAACAACAACAAAAAAAGACATAAAGTAAAAATAGGGAATAATGTAGTTACAGAAATTCCAAATGAAGTAGAAAACTAGATTTCTAGAAAATAAATAAAATAAATCTAACTGTAACCCTAAAACTAGACCAAGCCTTACTCCTAGCTTTAGCCCAATCTCTATCCCTAACACTAACCCTAGCCCTACCAAAACACTAACACGAAATGAAATCCTATGCCTTGCCTAGATCTAGCCATTGTCCTGATGTGGCGCTATAGGGTAAGCACTGGACTGCTAACAGCAAGATTGGCCATTCAAACCCACCAGCCGCTCCTTGGAATTCCTATATAAGGTTGCTATGAATCAGAACCAACTATGAGTCAGAATCAACTATGAGCAGGAACCAACTCCCCAGCACTTAACAACATATTGGGATAAGAAAATCTTTTTCTAAAGATCCTTTCTATTCAACTCTTCACTAGATCATAATCCAAGATTGGAAGCGAAAAGTTCATCAAAGTTAGTGCTTCTCATTCTATACATTGTCCCTTTGCTCCCTCCCCCATCATTCTGATAAAGGATGTAACTGATAAAGTTTATGGCAAAGGAACAGTCAGGATTTTGTGGGGCGGTGGAGAAGGTAGTTTGTGGTACACCTGTCTCAGCAGCAGTTTTATGCCCCGATCTCAGGGGGTTCATCTATGAAAATTTTGATGGATCAACTTATGTGGAGCCAACATATGAGCTATTGCAAAAGGCAAAATTTCTGAAATTCAATAGTTACATTCGAAATGCAAGTAACATTTCATATAATGATCATTTATTATCTCTAATTGTAGTTAAATGCAAGTGCTAAAAAAAATATTTTTTTAAATCAAAAAGCTAAAACTTAATTTATAGCAAGGAAGGGAGTGATTAACTCTCCAGTCTAGGAGCGGAGGTCTCTAGGACCATCAACCGAGAGCCGAGA